GAGCCGGCGCTCGCCTCCTTCCTCTACGCCACGGTGCTCTCCCACCCCTCCCTGCCCCGCTCCCTCTCCTTCCACCTCGCCAACAAGCTCTGCTCCTCCACCCTCCTCTCCACGCTCCTCTACGACCTCTTCCTCGCCTCCCTCACCGCGCACCCCTCCCTCCGCGCCGCCGTCGTCGCCGACCTCCTCGCCGCGCGCGCCCGCGACCCCGCCTGCGTCGGATTCTCCCACTGCCTCCTCAACTACAAGGGCTTCCTCGCCATCCAGGCGCACCGCGTCGCGCACGTGCTCTGGGCGCAGAACCGCCGCCCGCTCGCGCTCGCCCTCCAGTCCCGCGTCGCCGACGTCTTCGCCGTCGACATCCACCCCGCCGCCGTCGTCGGCAAGGCCATCCTCCTCGACCACGCCACCGGCGTCGTCATCGGGGAGACCGCCGTCGTCGGTGACAACGTCTCCATCCTCCACCACGTCACCCTGGGTGGGACTGGCAAGGCGGTCGGCGACCGCCACCCCAAGATTGGGGACGGCGTGCTCATAGGTGCCGGCGCCACAATCCTCGGCAACGTCATGATTGGAGCCGGGGCCAAGATTGGGGCTGGCTCCGTGGTGCTGATAGATGTGCCGGCGCGGAGCACGGCGGTGGGGAACCCTGCCAGGCTCATCGGAGGGAGGAAGGGCGAGTCCGACAAGGACGAGGACATGCCCGGAGAGTCCATGGATCACACCTCCTTCATACGGCAGTGGTCCGACTACACCATCTGAGAGAGCCATTGTCCAAGGTCTATTACTCATCCTCTGTATCAGTAACCGTGTTGTGCTACCAAATACGTAGTGATTTTGTTTTGGTATTGTTCGCTTGTGGATGAACATCAACTGTAGTCTAATGTCAAGTGTGTATGGCCAATTGTTTCTTCAGCTGAGCGACCATGCTCGGATACTGATAGTGGATGATTGATCAATGAATAATTTTGTGATCTACAATGGATTTGGTTGTATTTTCAATCATTTGCTGGATTAATCGTGCTTTTCTGAGAACATAGGTCATGGATTGATCAAGCTTCAAGGGCATATTAGATGACGCTATTATACCGTGTGAAACAATTTATACCATGATGATGCCACATACTAAATTTTAGACATGTTTTCAGATCCCAATTTCATCATTTTACTTGACATAAAATCAAATGTCACTTGTATTAGAGATATTAGCTAATAATTCTCTCTTAAAAGTCTGGAATGGGTTGATAAATGTCGTTCCAATTCATCCTTTTTCTGAACTTCTTTAATCTGCCAGTGTCACTTGACAAAGTTTATGAAAGCATTTCCCCAAAATATAAGGAAAAAAAAATCTTGTTCTATCATTATGAATCTGGTTGAAGTTCATGCTCATTTATTCCATATATTTTATTTATTTATTCATCTCTTTGTAGTTGTAGAACGTATGGTTTCACAACCATTGACCTCCCACATGCTATACCTATATATCCACCATTTTGATATCTGATGAATATAAAAAATACTTTTCTTCTGTCAAAACAATGTCGCCTTCGTTGGATGGGTCAATGAAGACTAGGAAAACACTATTTTCTGAATTTTATACCACACTTGCCTTCTGAAGCTTCCGGCTGACTGTTCAAAGTCATCTAGTCAACAAATTCTGAAGTCTTTCGAGCTCAGAGCACCATCTATATAGTGACGTGCTGGGAGGAGTTCCTGTTCATTCACGCTTCACAATGGAGACAATCATCTCTGCGGTTCTTGGTGATCTTGTCGGCAGAGCTATATCCTTTGTGGTCGAGAAGCGCCGCGAGAAGACAACCGCTGAGGAGGATCTGCAGAGGCTGCGCCAGCTGCTTTTGAGGATAAGTGCTGTTGTCGAGGAGGCCGAGGGGCGGTGTGTCACAAACCGGGGGATGATACATCAGGCTAGCACGATGCGAGAGCAAATGTTCAGAGGGTACTACCTTCTCGATGCCTTCAGGTGCAGAGAGAAGAAGACCGATGGCGAGGAGGTGAGTCACTTCTTGTTTGCTCAATCCAATTTCAATCCGGCTAAGCGTTTTCGCCGCCTTTCTAGCAACACTCAGATTGAGAGCACAGTAATTGTTAGAGTAAGCAGTCAGGAGCTTAAACAGGTTGTTCTTGGCCTAGAAAGCATGGTTGTTGATACGAAGGAGTTTGCTATATTTCTGATGAGCTACCCTCGCATGTACCGCCAACCCTATGGCGCATATTTATTTGTGGACAAGTACATGTTTGGCCGCCAAATGGAGAGGGAACAAGCCATCAGCTTCTTGCTACAAGCAGAGCTTCCGTATGGAAATGTGGGTGTCCTTCCCATTATTGCTTCTGCATTTGTTGGGAAGAGCACTCTTGTGGACCATGTTTGCAACGATGAGCGTGTGCAGAATCACTTCTCCTTGATCTTGCTCTACATTGGAAAAAACCTTCAAGATGAAACGATGACAACTTTTAGAGATCATTGTGTGATCAAGCATCAAAATATTTCCTTGGATGAAGAGAAGTCGTTGGTTGTCATTGAGCTCTTTGGGGACGTTGACACGGGGGCATGGAAGAGGCTACTGTCTGAAAGATGGATGACACTTGGGAGCAAAATCATAATCACTAGCCGATCAGAGAAGGCGGCCAGTCTTGGAACAACGGAAGCCATCAGGCTAAGTTATTTGTCTAAAGAAGCTTATTGGTATTTCTTCAGGATGCTCGTGTTTGGTAGCACGGATCCGGAGGAGCACCCAAAGTTAACATCAATAGCCATGGAGATAGCCCTAGAGATGTGCGGATCTTTCATATTCGCACATACTGTTGCTGCCTTACTGAGAGCAAATCTTAGTGTTCGGTTCTGGTGCACAGTCCTCAGACACCTTAGAGAGTACAGGCAGAAGAATATCTTGTTGTTAGGTGAATATCCTGCTGATGAAGATCAGCCTCGGTATATTTGGAGCTTGGCTAAAAGGCGGCGAGGTTCTGAGTATATTAAGTTCCTTCTGCGATGTAGTGACTACCAAAATGGGCCTGCTTCTCACAGTGGGATTCCGAGGATAACACTGATGGATCTTCAATCCGGCACCTGGAGCACTATGCCACGGGGAAAATTTGAGGTATTGTCCTGGAAGTCTCTCATACCACCGTACTACAGCTACACAACTGTCTGCGAGTTTGTCAGGTACGAGAAGTACCACAGCATAGAGGAATAAGAGAAGCACTCTTTGGCACTGTGGTGACATTGCTTTGAGTTACTGGTGGGTTCTCTTCCTGTCCAAGGACCAAGGCTCACCAGATTGGTCGATGAGACTGCTTGCTGGTCTAAAAGTTGATCTGGTTCTTGAGTATCGACTCAATCCTATATTGAGTATTGTAACTGGTGCCCAGTACATAGGGCTCCTTAAATACTGATTGTGCTTGTAATAACTTGTGTACTCTTCATCTGAATAAACAAGCCCTTGACTAAGTGGCTGATATTTCTTCTGACTCTCTTTTCACTTACTGTATAAAACTGACATATCTTGCCAGTACTAATATCTAGCTTGTTTCCAACCACTTGAGAAGCCTGTTTGAGTTACACGAATGACGGCACCACTCAGAGAGAGTGACGAAGGACAAGTACCCTGGGCATCCTAAACTTTGACGGAGATCCCTAGAAGCAGTTGGTACAACCTCTGCAGATCCTGCTGTGAAGTTTGGCACTTTTCAGCCATGATGCTGGTTAACGGTGTCTTGTAGAAGAAGACATCACTCACACGAGTCTGGGGAGTTCAGTTCAGGCAACCTGCATGCCTTGCTACAAAGATCAGTACCACAAGTGAAAATCCATACGAGAGTTCGGTCTATCAAGATGAAGAAACAGCTGAAAGAAGAACACCACTGCCTGATGGACTGGGGCAGGGGTGTTGGAAAGAATGGAAGAAAATGTGATCTCACTGTTGACAACAACAGGGGGAAAATGGGGCTTCAATTTTCCACCATGCTGACCTTCCAATCAGAAACAGTAACTTTTCTTCTGTCGTAACAGTATCGTTCGCTGGATCAAACGCCTATTCTATGAATTTTTTGCACAGTTGCTTTCTGAAGCTTTCAACTGACCTTTGAAGTCACGAGAGCAACTGCCTAACTCCGCAAGCTGAACTGCAGTTGCCTGTTCGTAGCACTTCTCGACCATGATGCTTGTTAACAGTGTCAGAACTTAGAAGAAAACAACACCCGTGCAATGTGGGGATTTCAGATTTCAGACAACCTGCATGTGCTGCTACAAAGATCAGTATCTCCATGCAAGGAGTTTTGGCTGACAAGATGAAACAACAGTAAAAAAACACAGTGAGTGAAAACAACCAATGCCAGATTCTGCTGGTGTTGGAAAGAACAGGAGAGTGTGATTTGACTGTTGTTCCCAGCAAAAGAGACATGCAGCATCAAGTTTCCACCATTTCAACATCCTTTCAAAAAAACAATACCTTTCTTCTGTCAAAAGTCAAAACAATGTCGCCTTCAGTGGATGGGTCAATGAAGACTAGGAAGTAGGAAAACACCTATTTTCTGAAATTTAAAGCACAAGTGCCTTCTGAAGCTTTCAGCTAACCATTCAAAGTCATTGAGTCAACAAATTCCTAAGTCTTTCTAGCTCAGAGCACCATCTATCTGGTAAGAGGCTGGGAGGGCTTCCTGTTCGTTTGCGCTTCACAATGGATGCAATCATTTCTGCGCTTCTTGGTGATCTTGTCGGCAGAGCTATATCCTTCGTGGTCGAGAAGCGCCATGAGCAGACAACCGCTGATGAGTATCTGCAGAGGCTGCGCCAGCTGCTTCTGAGGATAAGTGCCGTTGTCGAGGAGGCCGAGGGACGGTGTGTCACTAACCGGGGGATGATACATCAGGCTAGCACGATGAGAGAGCAAATGTTCAGAGGGTACTACCTTCTCGATGCCTTCAGATGCAGAGAGAAGAAGACCGATGACGAGGAGGTGAGTCTCTGCTCGTTCGTTCAATCCAAATTTAATCCGGCTAAGCGCTTTCGTCGCCTTTCTAATGACACCCAAATTGGGAGCATGGAATTTGGTAGAGACGTCAGTAAGGAGTTGAAACATGTTGTTCTTGTCCTGGAAAGAATGGTTGCTGATATGAAGGAGTTTGTTATATTTCTGATGAGCTACCCTCGCATGTACCGCCAACCTTATGGTGCATATTTATTTTTTGACAAGTGTATGTTCGGCCGCCAAATGGAGAGGGAACAAGCCATCAGCTTCTTGCTACAAGCTGATCCTCTAGGGGCTGGGGGTTTGGGTGTCCTTCCAATCGTTGGTCCTAGACTTATTGGGAAGAGCACTCTTGTGGAATATGTTTGCAATGATGAGCGTGTGCGCAGTCACTTCTCCTCGATCTTGCTCTACAGCGGAAACAGCCTTAAAGATGAAACGGTGATGACTTTTAGAGATCATTGTGTGATCAAGCATCAAAATATTGCATCAGGTAATGAAAGGTCATTGGTTGTTATTGAGCTGGTAGGGGATGTGGACGAAGGAGCGTGGAAGAGGCTGATGCACTCTGCTGAAAGATGCATGACAAGTGGGAGTAAAATCATAGTGACTAGCCGATCAGACAAGACAGTCAGGCTTGGAACAACAGAAGCCATCAAGCTAAGTTGTTTGTCTAAAGAAGCTTACTGGTATTTCTTCAAGATGCTTGTGTTTGGAAGCACGGACCCGGAGGAGCACCCAATGTTAACATCCATAGCCATGGAGCTTGCCCTCGAGATGTGCGGATCTTTCATCCATGCATATCTTGTGGCGGCCTTACTGAGAGAAAATCTCAGTGCCCAGTTCTGGCGCAGGGTTCTCAGAAACTTTAGGAAGTACATGCAGAAGAACGCATTGTTGTCTGGTGATTATATTGACGAGGATAAGTCTCGGTATGTTTGGAGCATTGCTAAAACTCGGCGAGTTTCTGAGGATCTTAATTTCTGTGTGCTACATGATAGTTACCAAAATGGGCCTGCTGCTCATGCTCATGGCGAAGTTCCGAGGATAACACTGGTGGATCTTTTTTCTAGGACATGGAGCACTGTGCCGCGGGGCAAATTTGAGGTCTTGTGCTGGAGGTCTCTCATACCACCGTACTACAACTACATATATGCTTGTGAGTTTGTGCAGCACAAGAAAACCTGGCTATAGGTGTCTTCTTGTTACTCGATCAATTATGTTTGGCATACCACATTGTATGTAGTATTAGACTTCCTTGCTTGCTGGTCTAAATGTTGGTGCTTGATTTAAGTTCATCTGGTTCTAGACCTATCGATCTTATATGTAGTATGCTGTAATTGGAACCCAGTATCTCATCATGTAGGGCTCCCTAATTACTGATTGTGTTTGTAGCCACTTGTATACTCCTCATCTCAATAAACAAAGCCTCTGAATAAAATTTAGTTGATACTTCTGCAGACTCTGTTTTCACTTTTCGGACAAAGCTGATATATCTTGCTAGTACAAATATCTAGCATTGCTTCCAGTGACTTGAGAGGCCTGTATCGTTTACACGAAACAGCCGCACTGCTCAGAGAGAGACAATGAGCACTTGAGCAGGACGACATTTGTCGAGGATCCCCAGAAGCAGCTGTTGCAGCCTGCAGTTTTCCTGCTTCTGGCATTTCTCAGCATGAGGCTGGTAACAGTTTCTTGTAGAAGATAACATGAATCACGACTGTCTGGGGAGTTCAGGTTAACAAGGTGAAGTGACAGTTGAGAGAACACAGTTGGCGAGCACAACTAATGCCAGATTGTGCTGGTGTTGGAAAGGACGGAAGAAACATGGAGCATCAAGTTTCCACCATGTTAACCTCTGAATCAAAAACAGGTACTTCTCTTCTGTCACAACAATGTCGCTTTCGTTGGATGGGTCAATAAAGATTGGGAGAAACACCATTTTCTTAAACTTGTAGCACACGCTTCAGTCATAACATCATTGCCCTTTGGTGGATGGGTCAACAAAGACTAGGATAACACCTACTCCTTCCGTTCATAAATATAGGATGTTTTTAACTTTTTTCTGAATCGGATTATATACACATTTTAGTGTGTTTGTTCATTAATTTCAGTCCGTATGTAGTCCATATTGAAATATCCAAACCATCTTATATTTGTGAACAGAGAGCGTAATTTTTTTTTTTTGAAAATTGTAGCACAATTGTCTTCTGAGAGCAACTCAGCAACTGTATAACTCCTTCAAGCTCAGAGCAAACCTGCGAAAGGTTGGGATGGTTCCTGTTTGTTTACACTTTACAATGGAGGCAGTAATTTCTGCAGTTCTTTGTGATATTGTCAGCAGAGCCATACTGCCTTGGTCAAGAATTACCGCGAGCAGACAACTGCCAATATGCAGACATTCACAGAGCATGTGGTAAGAAATCCAAACAATTGAAAAAAAATACAGACCTGCGCCAGCTGCTTCTGAGGACATCTGCTGTTGTTGAGAAGGCCGTGGGGTGGGGTTTGGCAAACCGAGGGATGATCCATCGGGTTAACGCGATGAGAGAACAGATGTTCAGAGCAGATGAGTGATTCAGTGAAGATTAGAACACCTATTGGATGGGTCAACGAAGACAGAACGCCTATTGGATGGTTCAATGAAGACTAGAACACCTAATTTGTGGAAATTACAGAACAACTGCTTTCTGAAACTTTGAGCTGATCGTTCAAAGTCACCAAATCTGCAACTGCTTAGTGCTTGTCTGGTTAATCCCCTCCACAAGGGGATTGAAGATGATTGGAGGGGATTGAGGAGGATTTTGACTTGTAGGGGATTTAAGTCCTTCCAAGCTCAGAGCACCTGAGTGAGAAACTGCCTAACTCCTTCAACCCCAGAGCACCATCTATCTGGTGAGAGGCTGGGAGGGGTTCCGGTTTGCTTGCACTTCACAATGGAGGCGCTCATCTCTGCAGTTCTTGGCGATATTGCCAGCAGAGCTATATCCGTCGTGGTCGAGAAGTGCTGCGAGCAGACAACCGCTGAGGATGATCTTCAGAGGCTGCGCCAGCTGCTTCTGAGGATATCTGCTGTCGTTGAGGAGGCCGAGGGGCGTCATGTCACAAACGAGGGATGATCCACCGCTTAGCGCGATGAGAGAGCAGATGATCCCAGCATACTACCTTCTCGACGCCTTCAGGTGCAGCGAGAAGAAAACCGGGGAAGAGGAGGCGAGTCGCCGATCGTTCGCTCGATCCGCATTCAATCCAGCTTAGCGCTTTCGTCACCTTTCTAGCAACACCCAGTTTGAGAGCATGACAATAGTATGCAGAGAAAGCAGCAGCAAGGAGTTGAAAAAGGCTGTTCTAGGCTTAGAAACCATGGTTGCTGACATGAAAGAGTTTGCTATATTTCTGATGAGCTACCCTCGAATGCACCGCCAGCCTCGTAGTGTGTACCTATTCTTGGACAAGTCTATGTTCGGCCGCCAGATGGAGATGGAACAGGCCATCAGCTTCTTGTTACAAGCGGATCAGCAGATTCTAGGGAATGGAGATCCTGGTGTCCTTCCAATTGTTGGTTCTGCACTTATTGGGAAAAGCACTCTCGTGGAGCATGTTTGCGACGATGAGCGGGTGCGCAGCCACTTCTCGTCGATCTTGTTCTACACTGGAGACAGTCTCACTACAGGTGAGGGCGGTCGACCTCCTATCTGGGAGCGCCGCCGAGCCGCGGGGCAGGTCTGAGGTGCTGTTCTGGAGGTCCCTCGTACCACCGTACTACAGGTACATGTATGTGTGCGAGTGCAAGTTTGTGCGGCACAAGAACAAGAACAACCCGATTGAAATGGAGCCATAGAGGTGGTGCATGCATGTTTTGAGTTCTTGATTGACCGATCATATATTGGAGTATGTTGTGGTTGGTACCCAGCCAGTAGCTCATCGTTTAGTTGCAATCACTTGGTGTATATATATACTCTTGTCTGAACAAACAAGCCTTGCAATAAAATCCAGTTGATCTCTCTGTGTTTCATTTCTTGGACATATTATGTCCTGCTAGAAGGTATCAATCATCTGAGATTTCTTTAAGTCCCATTTTATATAGAAAAATGTATTTTTCTTTACAGAAAATGGCTTACCAGATTGGCATGTGCTAAGACTTCTGGTCCAGTATTGGTGCTTGATTTGAGTTGGTATGGTTCTTGAGTTGATCTTATGTTGGAATATATTGTACTTGGTACCCAGTAGCTCATCATGTAGGGCTCACTAATTACTGATTATGCTTGTAATCAATTGTGTCCTCATCTAAAAATCAAAGCCTTGGAATAAAATCCAGTTGATATTTTTTCTGACTCTGTTTTTCTTTTCAGACAAAGCTGATATATCTTGCTAATACCTTGTTTCCAGTGACTTGAGAAGTTGAAAAGGTCATTTCTTTTAAGCAAATGGCCGCACTGCTCAGAGACTGCAGAAACAACCACTACTTGATTCTGTAGGTGTTTGAAAGCATGGAACAAAGTTGTGACCTCTAAATCACCATGTAGCGTCAAGCTTCCATCATGTTGACTTCTAAATAAAAAATAGGTACTTTTCTTCTGTCACAACAATATGTCGCCTTTGTTGAATGGGTCACAATGTATACTATGAGAACACCTGTTTTCTGGAACTTGCAGCACAATTGCTTTCTGAAGCTTTCAGCTGACCGGTCAAAGTCACCGAGTCTGCAGCTGCCTAACTCCAAGTTCAGTGCACCATCTATCTGGTGAGAGGCTGGGAGGGAACCCTGTTTGCTTGCAGGTTGCAATGGAGGCGCTCATTTCTGCAGTTCTTGGTGATCTTGCAGGCAGAGCCATATCATTCGTGGTTGATAAGTGCCGTGAGCAGAGAACAGCGGAAGAGGATCTGCAGAGGCTGCAACAGCTTCTTCTGAGGTTACGTGCCATCGTCGAGGAGGCTGAGGGGCGGCGTGTCACGAACCGAGGGATGATCTGTCAGGTTAGCATGATAACAAAGCAAATGTTCAGAGGGTACTACCTTCTCGACACCTTCAAGTGCAGAGAGAAGAAAGCCAATGATGAGGAGGTGAGTCTTTCCTCGTTCATTCAATCCAAATTTAATCCAGCTAAACGTTTTCGCCGCCTTTCTAGCAACACTCAGACTGAGAGCATGGTAATTGGTAGAGAAAGCAGCAAGGAGTTGAAACATGTTGTTCTTGTCCTAGAAAGCATGGTTGCTGATATGAGGGAGTTTGCTATATTTCTGATGAGCTACCCTCGCATGCACCGCCAACCTTATGGCGCATATTTATTTTTGGACAAATATATGTTCGGCCGTCAAATGGAGAGGGAACACGCCATCAGCTTCTTGCTACAAGCTGAGCCTCTAGGGGGTGAGAATTTGGGCGTCCTTCCGATCGTTGGTCCTGGACTTATTGGCAAGAGCACTCTTGTGGAACATGTTTGCGATGATGAGCGTGTGCGCAATCACTTCTCCTTGATCTTGCTCTACAGCAGAAATGACCTTAAAGATGAAACTGCGATTGCTTTTAGAGATAATTGTGTCACTAAGCATCAAAATATTACCTTGGATAAAGAAAGGTCGTTGGTTGTCATTGAACTCTTAGGGGACGTGGACAAAGCGGCATGGAAGCGGCTGCTGCAGTCTGCTGAAAGATGTATGACACGTGGGAGCAAAATCATAGTGACTAGCCGATCAGAAAAGATGGTCAGGTTTGGAACAACGGAAGCCATCAAGCTAAGTTGTTTGTCTAAAGAAGCTTACTGGTATTTCTTCAAGATGCTCGTGTTTGGAAGCACGGACCCGGAGGAGCACCCAAGGTTAACATCCATAGCCATGGAGCTAGCCCTCAGGATGTGCGGATCTTTCATCTGTGCATATGTTATTGCTGCCTTACTGAGAGAAAATCTCAGTGCCTGGTTCTGGTGCAGGGTTCTCAGAAGCTTTAGGAAGTACATGCAGAAGAATTTATTGTTGGCTGGTGAATATTTTTACGAGGATAAGCCTCGGTACGTTATGACCATTGCTGAAACACGGCGAGTTTCTGGGGATCGTAAGCTCTTTCTGCTCCACCATAGTTATCAAAAAGGGCCTGCTGCACAGGGCAAAGTTCCGAGGATAACACTGGCGGACGTTCTATTCAGTAGATGGGGCACTGTGCCGTGGGGCAAATTTGAGGTCTTGTGCTGGAGGTCTCTCATACCGCCATACTACAACTACATATATGCTTGTGAGTTTGTGCGGCACAAGAACACCACACCGTAGTACTCTTCTTGTATACTCGATCAATTATGTTTGGCTTACCAGATTGGCATGTATTAGAATTCCTTGCATGTTGTTCTAAATATTGGTGCTTGATTTTAGTTGATCTGGTTCTAGACTGATTGATCTTATATGGAGTATACTGCAATTAGAATGCAGTAGATCGTCATGTAGGGTTATGTTTGTAATCATCTGTATACTCTTGATCTCAATAAACAAATCCTTGGAATAAAATCTAGTTGATATTTCTGCAGACTGTTTTCACTTTTTGGGCAAAGCTGATATATCTTGCTAGTACCTTACTTCGAACGAACGGCTGCACCGCCGCGAGATTGTGCAGGATGAAAGAACAGTTGAAAGAACACGGTGAGCCAAGACAACCATTGCTTGATTGTGCAGTTGTTGGAAAGAACTTAGGAAAAAAATTGTGATCTGGCTATTGATTCCAATGGTGCAAACATGCAGTTCAAGTTTCCACCATGTTGACCTCTAAATCAAAAACTGGTACTTTTCTTCTTCTGTCACAACAACGTCGCCTTTGTTGAATCGGTCGATAAAGACTAGCTTTCTGGAAGTTATGTAGCTTCAGCTGACCGTTCAAAGTCATGGAGTCAGCAACTTCCTAACTCCTTCAAGTTCTGGTGAGTCTAGGAGGGGTTCCTGTTTGCTTTCAGTTTATAATGGCGGCACTAATTTTTTGCAGTTGGTGATATTGTCGGCAGAGCTATATGCTTCGTGGTCGAGAATTGCTGTGAGGTTACGTGCCGTCATTGAGGAGGCTGAGGGGCAGCGTGTCACTAACCGAGGGATGATCTGTCAGGTTTGCATGATGAAAAAGCAAATGTTCAGAGGGTACTACCTTCTCGACATCTTCAAGTGCAGAGAGAAGAAGACTGACAATGAGGAGGTGAGTCGCTCCTTGTTCGTTGAACACAAATTTAATCCAGCTAAGCATTTTAGCCGCCTTTCTAGTGACACTCAGACTGAGAGCATGGTAATTGCTAGAGAAAGCAGCAAAGAGTTGAAACAGCACTCACGACAGTCTGGGCAGTTCAGGCGACCTGCATGGCTGCTACAAAGATCAGTACCACAAGTGAAAATCCACACGAGAGTTCGGGCTATCAAGATGAAAAAACAGCTGAAAGAACAACAGCCCTGCCTGATGGACTGGGGTCAGGTGTTGGCAAGAACGGAAGAAAATGTGACCATGATGCTTTCAACTGACCTTTAAAGTCAGGAGTCAGCAACTGCCTAACTCCGCAAGCTGAACCACAGTTGCCTGTTCGCAGCACTTCTCGACCATGATGCTTGTTAACAGTGTCAGAACTTAGAAGAAAACAACACCCGTGCAGTGTGGGGAGTTCAGATTTCAGACAACCTGCATGTGCTGCTACAAAGATCAGTATCTCCATGCAAGGAGTTTTGGCTGACAAGAAGAAACGACAGTAAACAAACACAGCGAGTGAAAACAACCGATGCCAGATTCTGCTGGTGTTGGAAAGAAGTAAGAACAGAAGAGTGTGATTTGACTTTTGTTCCCAGCAGAAGAGACGTGCAGCATCAAGTTTCCACCATTTCGACATCCGTTTCAAAACAAATACTTTTCTTCTGTCAAAACAATGTCGCCTTCATTGGATGGGTCAATGAAGACTAGGAAGTCGGAAATTTGTAGAGTGAATTGCAGAAAACCACCACATTGAAGCATAGGATTGCAGAAAAGACTCTTCTACGAATTTGTGCCAGAAAACACTGATTTTTGTCCTAATCATTTGCAAAAAACACTGATCGATCGTTTTGGGCATTTTAACCTCGATTATGACAGATGGAGCCCACCCTTTGCTGACGTGGCGTAATGGTCTTTTTGCCAAAATCTCCTCCCCTCCCTGAAAGTTTTCCCCCCAAAAACGTCCTCCCTCGTCAGTGAGCACGCGGTGGCCGGCGGCAGCTCGGCCGCAAAGCGGAGTAAGCGGCGGCGGCGCGCAGCTCAGGTGCGGCTCTGCCCTCCCAGCGGAGCAAGTGCGCCGTCGCTCGGGCGCGGCCCCGCCTTCCCAGCGGAGCAAGCAGCGGCGGCGCGCACCTCCGGCGCGCACCTCCGGCGCGACCCCGCCCTCCCAGAGGAGCAAGCGGCGGCGAGGCGCAGCTCGGGCGCGACCCTGCCCTCCCAGCGGAGCAAGCGGCGGCGAGGCGCAGCTCGGGCGCGACCCTGCCCTCCCAGCGGAGCAAGCGGCGGCGGCGGCGCGCAGCTCGGGCGCGACCCGGTCCTCCCAGCGGAGCAACCAGCGGCGGCGAAGCGCAGCACAGGCGCGTGCAGCGGCGGCGCGCAGTACAAGCCCTTGCAGCCGCCGCGCGCAGGGCCCAGCTGCCGCCTTCTACTCTGGTGCTCGTCCCACCACCGCCCGATGCGGTTGCGGCAGCACCGGCCGACGAGGACGAGTTGTCCTCTTCCTCCTTCGGGCGTGAAAGCCATGGCTGGGAGCTGATTGCGTTTGGACTTTTGCCTAAAGGGTGTCTATGCAAAAATGCCAGGGCCCCACATGTCATAATCGAGGTTAAAATGCCCAAAACGATCGATCAGTGTTTTTTGCAAATGATTAGGACAAAAATCAGTGTTGTCTGGCACAAATTCGTAGAAGAGTCTTTTCTGCAACCTTACGCTTCAATGTGGTGGTTTTCTGCAATTCACTCGAAATTTGTAGCACAAGTGCTTTCTGAAGCTTTCAGCTGACCATTCAAAGTCATCGAGTAAGCAGATTCTTAAGTCTTTCTAGCTCAGCCTCAGAGCACCATCTATCTGGTAAGAGTCTGGGAGGGCTTCCTGTCTGTTTGCGCTTCACAATGGAGGCAATCATTTCTGCGGTTCTTGGTGATCTTGTCAGCAGAGTTATATCCTTTGTGGCCGAGAAGCGCCGCGAGCAGACAACCTCTGAGGAGGATCTGCAGAGGCTGCGCCAGCTGCTTCTGAGGATAAGTGCTGTTGTCGAGGAGGCCGAGGGGCGGTGTGTCACTAACCGGGGGATGATACATCAGGCTAGCACGATGAGAGAGCAAATGTTCAGAGGGTACTACCTTCTCGATGCCTTCAGGTGCAGAGGGAAGAAGACCGGCGATGAGGAGGTGAGTCTCTGCTCGTTCGTTCAATCCAAATTTAATCCGGCTAAGCGCTTTCGCCGCCTTTCTAGCGACACTCAAATTGGGAGCATGGAATTTGGTAGAGACGTCAGTAAGGAGTTGAAACATGTTGTTCTTGTCCTGGAAAGCATGGTTGCTGATATAAAGGAGTTTGTTATATTTCTGATGAGCTACCCTCGCATGTACCGCCAACCTTATGGTGCATATTTATTTTTTGACAAGTGTATGTTCGGCCGCCAAATGGAGAGGGAACAAGCCATCAGCTTCTTGCTACAAGCTGATCCTCCAGGGACTGGGAGTTTGGGTGTCCTTCCAGTCGTTGGTCCTAGATTTATTGGGAAGAGCACTCTTGTGGAATATGTTTGCAATGATGAGCGTGTGCGCAGTCACTTCTCCTCGATCTTGCTCTACAGCGGAAATGGCCTTACAGATGAAACGGTGATGACTTTTAGAGATCACTGTGTGATCAAGCATCAAAATATTGCATCAGGTAATGGAAGGTCATTGGTTGTTATTGAGCTCATAGGGGATGTGGACGAAGGGGTGTGGAAGAGGCTACTGCACTCTGCTGAAAGATGCATGACAAGTGGGAGTAAAATCATAGTGACTAGCCGATCAGAGAAGATGGTCAGGTTTGGAACAACGGAAGCCATCAAGCTAAGTTGTTTGTCTCAAGAAGCTTACTGGAAGCACGGACCCGGAGGAGCACCCAAAGTTAACTTCCATAGCTATGGAGGCAGCCCTCGGGATGCGAGGATCTTTCATCTTCGTATATATTGTCGCTGCCTTACTGAGAGAAAATCTCAGCGTCCAGTTCTGGTGCAGGGTTCTCAGAAACAATAGGAAGTATCTGGAGAAGAATGCATTGTTGGCTGGTGAATATCTTGACGAGGATAAGCCTCGGTAAGTTTGGAGCCTTGCTCAAACACGACAAGTGTCTGAGGATCTTAAGCTCTTTGTGCTACATGATATTTACCAAAAAGGGCATGCTGCTCAGGGCGAAGTTCCGAGGATAACACTCGGGGATGTTCTATTGAGGACATGGAGCACCGTGCCGCTGGGAAAATTTGAGATCTTGGGCTGGAGGTCTCCCATACCGCCATACTACAACTACGTATATGCTTGTGAGTTTGTGCGGCACAAGAACACTACACCATAGTTCTCCTCTTGTATACTCGATTAATTATGTATGGCTTACCAGATTGGTATGTATTAGGCTTCCTTGCATGTTGTTCTGAATGTTGGTGCTTGGTTTAAGTTGATCTGGTTCTAGACCGATCGATCTTAGATGGAGTACACCGGAACCCAGTAGCTCATTCTGTAGGGTTCCCTAATTACTAGTAGCTTTGTTTGTAATCACTCAGAGTCTTGTATACTCTTCATCTCAGGAAGCAAACCCTTGAATAAAGTCCATGTGGGGTTACCTACTTATTGATATTTCTGCAGACTATATTTTCAATTTTTGGACAAAGTTGATATATCTTGCTAGTACTAATATCGTTTGGGACTGTTTCCAGTTACTTGAGAGGTCCGAATCATTTGCATGAAATTGCTGTGCAGCTCAGAGGCAGGACAAGTACCCTCGACATTGGCGAGGATCCGCGGATGCAGATGGTACCCTGCAGTTGCTTGCTCCTGGCATTTCCAAGCATGATGCTGGTAACAGTTTTCTTGTAGATGACAGCATGGCCAACGACGGTCTGGGGAGTTCAGGCTAACAAGATGAAAACACCGGTTGAAAGAAGAGCACAGTGGGCGGACACAATCACCGTCAGATTGGGCATGTGTTGGAAAGAACGGAAGAAAAATGGAAACATGTGGCATCAAGTTTCCACCATGTTGACCTCTGAATAAAAAACAGGTAGTTTTCTTCT